GTCTTCCAGTGCTAAACTGGGACTCCCAGCCTCCCTTTTCTTTATGTACCACAGGTCGACTCACGTTTGCATTTTATTTAAGAATAATTAAACTCTCTTCAAAAATAATGTTTTTTGGCAAAGATGAATTGCTTTTTGTTCATTAAATGGTACTTGTCTCAAAGTAATCTAATGTTATAATAATTATACAAGTATAATTTAGTGGCATTGCAATAATTAATATACAGCCCGTTCAGAGTAAAACCGAATATAGGGAAACGTATAGGGCGTGGCCTCGCCTCCCTCCAACGCGCGACACAGTAGCTAAGCAAATAGCCTGCATCGCTAATGAGATTTTTTGCATTATTATCATTTAATTTTTAAGGTCGTCTTACCTGCTCGACCTTTCGTCATGTCGTTTATCAAACAAGCTACTGTGACGCGCGTTGGATGGAGGCGAGGGCACGTCCAAAACGTTTCCCTATATTCGGTTTTACTCTGAACGGGCTGTATTATATAATATATAATTATATGGATTAAAAAAAATTAATAAAATATATTTTTTATTCTGTGTTTAAATAAAAAATTCTGAAATGAATATTAAGAGAGTTAAAAATTAACATTGGGCAAATACTTTAATGAATAATAAAGAATTGTTTTACTAAGTAAATTATTTTTGGGTCAAATCTGTTTTTTTTTGTAATAAATGTAGGTAATTTATATTTTGTTTAAGGACTCAATGTGTTTTTTTTTGTTGGATGTAGTGTAAGATAGCTAAGCTAACTACATCCATTTGTGTAAGAAATTGTATTTTTTTTTGCACAATAAACATTATTATTATTATTATTATTATTATAAGTATAGAACTATTTTCCGTGTGGAAGATATCTTTTCAGTTGCGGAGTAAATTTGACAATAATTAATGGACTGATATTTATGTTATTATTTACATAAAGTTTATAATTTTACTTAAAAAAAAGACTTTTTTAAATTCAACCCACCAATTAGCTATTAAATATACGCGAGGGTAAATAAAGCAGAGGGCACAAATTGAAATTAAATCGACGACTGGAAAGTTTGAAAGTGATCGACAGTTGGCGAATGTTGGACCCGATTTGAAATTGAATCACGTTGCAGGAACTCCGTGATGCCTGCTGCCTCCTGCTTGAATAAACTACCTAGACTCACTTTGTCGAATAAAGAATATGGAACAGTTTGTTAAACTCTTGTTTTTCCCACTTCATTTTAAAAGTAATATGTAAAGAAAAGTCTACATGTCCAAGAAGATATAAAAATGTTGTCATAACTCATTCAAAATATGTTCCCTAATTGAATGCTATGCTGGAACATTGTTGTGTCAGAAATGAGAGAATTGGTCGTGTGACATAATGTACACACAAAACTCATAAAATATTTTAAAAAATACATAATTAAGCCATATTTTCAGCATAGATATGCAGAATATTAGTCATAAAACTAGTTTGGTAATAATAATAATAATATTAATAATAATAATAATAAACGACTTTATTTGATATAAGCATCCACTATCACCAAAAAGGCGAAGTCAACAATCAGAAATTGTTCTTCGACTTAACCATAAACCACAACAGTAAGACGGTAATATTATGTCAGTATAAAATATACTCGTATACTAAAGTATTACATAATAAATGACAAACATGAAATACAAAAATTAAAAAATTCCGATGTATTCCAATTTGTAAAACAAGAAGATACAAGTGTCAGTAGAAAAGATAAATTAAAAGTAGTGCACCAACAATCAAAAATAATACTATTTCAATAATATCCTTTAACAATTTAAATAATAGTTTCTTAAAAAAAACAATATATTAATTAATATATTATTTTTTTCTGCTTTGTATGCAATTATATTTTAATTTTTCTGCGAAAAGAGTTAAGAGTCAAGTTTTTAAGTACTGGTTTAAGATTATAAATTTTAGGTTTCATGTAGCTAAACCCGCGTGGAAAACTAGTAGTTAAAAGCCTAGTCATAATTAAGTTGTTTTTACGTTCGCTATGTCTATGTATATCGCTACCAAAGGTAGGTAAAGAGATGTAATTAATAGGTTGTGTATGAAAACTAAATAGCTATTTTCCATAATTACCCACCCTAGTTCTTTAAAATTATATATATGATATATGATCAAATTTCTTAAGGTTATAAATATATCTGCAACATGTATTCTGTACTTTTTGTATACTATTTTTAGAAAGTGTATTACAGTTATTTAAAATAAATTACACAATTGTTTTTTTATACTAAGAATTTAAATATTTTTATTAGTAACTATATAATATCTTTAATCTGACTTAAGCATTTTGTAAAAGCTTGTTTATTTGATCATTTAGTTTCAACTTTTGGTGTAATGTAACACCCGGTATTTTAACGCTTTCTGAAAAAATAAGAGGGTCAAGATCTAAAGAATTTTTAATATTGTTTCGATAATTTTTAGGACAAAATAGAGGTGATAGGGTTTTGCTGGCATTTAATTTTACGTTGTTACTTTTTGAATATTTAAAAATTGATTGTTAGTCGCGATTTATATTAGCAGACACGTTTTTCGGTGACTTTGGATTAAATGTGTAAATATAAAGAGTCAGCAATATAAATTAAAAACAACAATGGACCAAGGATTGAGCCTTGAGGCACCCCAGAAATAATACTTGATGCATCCGTGGAAAGGATATTTTATTGTCCACTACTACTATTTGATATCGATCAGTATGAATAAAAAAGTTTTATTGATGGATCATCAAAACGAAAATAATGCATTTTTGCGCAAAGTAAATTTGGATCGATGGTGTCGAATGCCTTTGAAAAATCTGGCGAGACTGACGCCTGTTTTTATAAAAGTTATTAATTATTTTATCAAATAGATTTAATGAGGCTGTTACTGTACTATACTCCTTTCGAAAGACAAGTATACACGGTTTTGGACCTGAGCAACCAAAAGTTGTTTTTAAGGTAACTTGGGGTGCTGAATACAAATCTTCACTTCGAGATAGTAAATAAATTAAATTTGTACGATCTTTGGCAATTATATTTATTTAATGGCAATTAAAAGTAATAAATTAGAAATGAAGAGCGGTGGAACTAAGTCTTTTATATTGTTTTGGATCCGTTTCACGCATTACAGTACTCGCTCATCATGCGTTCATCCCAAAATTTTTGGTATCTCTTTCAATATTTGCGAGATCTTCGTGTAGCCGCTCGTATCGCCCAGGTTTTCAAGAAAAAAATCGAGGTGTGAATGGAGGAAATGCATCTTGAGAGACATCCGAGATCCAATCTTGCGGTAATTTTGCAACGAATTTCCGATGATTTGCTTGAAATCTGGGGATTTGCGGTTACCAAGAAAGTTGTTCATCGGGCGTTAAACATTTTGTATAGTTTCCTTTGGTCATTAATTTTCGAATATCAGGTCCGACAAATATTCCTTCTTTGATTTTTGCGTACGACAAATTTGGAAACAACTTGATAAGTACTGAAAAGCCTACCCTTCACCTGCTAGAACTGAAAAACTAGAACCAATCTTTCCAAACGGATTTAATATTCGAATTCAGCGCATCAAATAACTTTAAAAATCGTTCTAATCTGCTCGGGTCCACAATCCACACAACAAGGTCTGTTCTATCTCGTACTAAAAATACAAAAAATCACTGCAACACTGCCCAGTTTAACGGCGGCCATTTTTGTTGTTTACAATTTTTGTGCTTTGGGTTTGTGCTCTGTTTATACAGATTAATAATCGCTTTAAACGTGGTTTTTCTCATAGTAAGCCTTAAAAGAGTCCCTAAAGTGCTAAGAACAACCATTTTACTCCTCTATTGTAAAAAATAAACTTTATTCCATCAGGGCTCTAATAAAACTGTCAAATGTCAATTTTAAGGTTAAATTATAACCCATAAATTAACCTTCAAATTATCATTTGACAGCCTTGATAGAATAAGGTATATTTATTATAAAAGAGGAGTAAAATGGTTGTCCTTAGCACTTAAAGGCCTTATTTGAGGCTTACAAGTGCCTCTGTAAGAAACACAACGTTTAAAACAATTATTAAACAGCACAAACCCAAAGCACAAAAATTGTAAACAACAAAAATGGCCGCCGTTGAACTTTGTGCAGTGTTGCAGTGATTTTTAGTATTTTTAGCATGAGATAAAACAGACCTTGTTGTGTGGATTGTTCTCGGGTCCAAAAGTTGGCCGGAATTTGTAAACTTGTGTAATTTTTTTTAATATTTTAGACAAGGTGCATAATAAGCTAATAGGTCTTAAGTCCGACGGTGCATTTTTTAAGGTAGTGGGCATATTAACGAACCCTTCCAATCATCCAATGGTGCTGGTTATTTACAATCTTAGCATTAAGATGCTGCTCCAAAAATTCTTTTTGACTAACCCATTTTTTAATTTTTTCCTTTTTCAAAAATTCTCGATATATTTCTTGTTGAGTAGGATATTTATTTTCAAATTTTTCTTCACCTTCTTTACCACATTTTTCCAAAAATTTATCAATATTTTGGATTGCCATTTCAATTTCCTTGGCACTAATCATTATTACTGTACGATAATATTAAGACTGAATAATATTTTTTAGGTCACACGTTTTGGTGGGAAAATAATAAATTCAAAATGGCGTCAAAAATGAAATTTATATTAATAATTCAAAATATATCTCTAAAAAAATGACGTCACATTTCAAAATGGCGTTAAAAATTAAATTTATATTATTAATAATAAATCCTTATCTCCAAATAGCGGATACCAGGTGACCAAACCACTGTTAAGTCACGCCCACCCCCTTATCACCAGCTTCCTTTCCCTTATCTCTAGTTCGAAATTTTTGTATCGCTTATCTATAGGTGGCGCCACCTTCGGAAAACAGCGCTACCGACCCAACGCGTTACGTCACCTGTCTGGGTCACTTCCGGCTTGGAACTCTCTTTGTATCTCTACTAATGGACCACAAAAACTAAGATTTGTTCTCTTTGTTCCAGGCATGAAACCCCGCATGAAAAACCACTTCAGAGCTCACCAGCTGAGCGTCTGGCTCCGGCTCATCCCCGAGCTCCATCGCGCCGGCATGGAGGACGTCGTCGCGCGTCACAACCTCTTCAGAAACCACAACAACGCCGACTTGTACGACGGTGCGGTCCGTCCCGACCCCTTGTCCCGCGTCAGCTACTACGACCCGACGATGGAGCTGTTCAGAAGGCGACCGAACGCCACCCTCACCGGATTGGAGCCACCTACGACGATGGACACCATTGTCACGACTTGCGTCAATGTTGTTTCAAGCGGATACAATCCGCAGATGTATCCGAACGGGCAGAACAACTCGACCGATCCCTTGGCGAGCTTGGAGGCGGCCGGTTACGCGGCTTACAGCACTGCTTTGAGCGTTACGATCGCCATAGGGTGCTCTTTGTTAATCCTGAACGTTTTGATATTCGCCGGGGTTTATTATCAGAGAGACAAGACCAGGATGGAGGTTAAGAACTTGCAACAACAGCAGAGCCGCAACCAGGCCACGTTTGAAACGATATCGAAACATCAGCACTATCACTTGGGACACTCGCAGAGCTCCAATGTTATTGTGGATGTGGAGCAAGACACGTCCGCGATGATATTAGCTGCGAACGCACAACAAGACTTGCACGCGATGAACAAAGTCCAGCAACACCTATGCCCGACCAGTATATCGAACACCTTGAAAGCACCGCCGCCCAGTCCCAACGTAATGATGCAGAACTGCATGACTCTGCCGAAAAACATGCACCACATGAATCAAATGCACAACTACAACCAAGGCTGCATGACCCTCCCGAAAAACTCCTCGCTCTTGAACAACACGGCCTGCGTCATAGCTGAAATGCAGCTGCAACATCAGGGAGGCATGTCGCAGCCTCCCAACGGCAACGCGATACCGCTGGCCTGCCCCAAACCGCCCCCGCCTCCCAGATCGAAGAGCCCCGAGAGTCAACCTTTGCTCAACTCGGGCGGTAACAGTAAGAATATGAGGCTGCCTCAGGCGGCCATGAGTGAGATGAGGGTGTGATAATGTTAGGGATTTTCTCGTCCGCATTCGTTTATTTTTATCGAGGCCTATGATAAGGCCTACTCAACTTTGATTGTGTACATACTACGAAATTTATTGGATGTTTATTATGTGTGTAAAGTGTAAACTATTCTCGATTTTATTCTGCCGTTTACGAAAAGTGAAATATGAGGTAGCTTAGTCACTTTTTTAAGGGGTGTCCCAAGATATTGATTGTCAATTGTAGATTCTGACATTTAATAGGTAAGTAAGAAATTCTAAATCAAGTCGGGATTTGCAGTTCTATTCTTAGTTATTGTCAAATTCACTCATAACACTTTCGCAGTCATGCGGTTATGACGTCACACTTGTACGTTTTAGCAAACCTTAAATTTACAATTTTTATTGGCACCATTTTAAAGTAGACTCTAAATATCAAAAACCAAAATTAAGTAAAACATTTTTTGACAAGAACTTTAAGGTTTAGAGCAATGTTGGCTGATAAAATTCATTTAAAACTATAAAACTGATTTTTTAAAATATTTTGTCAAAATTTTGACATTTGGACCTGTACTGCTCTTAACCTCACCGATTCAATTGTTTTTAAATGCTCAAAACTTTTTAACTTTTTATAAAAAAATAGTTCGGTTATTTATTTCTATATTTTTGCTTTTAAAAAAGCTTTGTTGCTATTTTAAGCCAAACTTTTTGCATCTTTTTGTTTATACAGGGTGATACTCTAAGGGTATCAAGGCTACAAGATTATTTAAATTAGAGAAAAGTTGCTTATTTACCTATTAACATGAAATTTATAAATTGAAAAAAAAACAGCGGTTTTCAAAATATTTGAAAAAAAACTAAAAATCTTTCAAAACAAAAAATCGTAAAAACTTGTTATTTCTTGAAATTTTGAAACATATTAAGTTTTACATGTAAACGCACACATTAATCTACATTTTTATCTAATTTTTTCGCTACTATGTTTTGAGTTACCAACACCATCTTTTGTTTTTATAATGGCCGCAAAGTTGGGTGTGGTATCTTAAAATCTAGTAGGCGGAAATATCACAAATTCGATTAAAATGTAGATAAATGTGTGTTTACATGTAAAAGTTACTTTTTTTCCAAATTCACAGAAATAATGAAGTTATAACAATTTTTGGTTTTTAAAGGTTTTCAGTTTTTTCAAATTATTTGAGAACTGTTGGTTTTTTCCAATTTTTAATGCCATTTTAATAAATAAAGTTATATTAAAATAATTTTTAATTAAAAAAAATTCAAAGTAAAAAATTTTGTTAAAAAAAATTACATCTCAATTTTTTTCTAAAAAAAAAAACGTTCAAAAACAAGAAAATAAAAAAACGATTTGTCAGTGGTTAAAAAAGTAATGAAAATTTATAAAAAAAAAGTTTTGTGTAAATGTAAGGGTGGCCCAAAAAAAAGAATATATTTTTTTCTCGTCTCTTGTAAAAATGTTTTGTCATGTTTTAAGAGCCCTGTCAAAAGATCATTATTCAATTTTTGACGATTTTGAAAATTTTTTAAAATCTTGAGAGACCCCTAAACATTTTTTAATCGAGCTGATATTTTGATAGGGCTCCCACAGCATGATAAACTAACATATTTTTACAAGAGACGAGAAAACAAATATTCTTTTTTTTGGGCCACCCTAGTGGGGTAGTATAACATATAAAAATTTTAGCTAAAACAAAAGGGTCGATTTGACCTGGAATGCCCCATATTTTTTAGTGAAAGTTTAGTTTTTTTGCAAGAGTTATATTGTCTTTATTTCTGTCAAAACTAAAATAAAAATTGTATATTTAAGGTGTGCTAATGTGTACCAAGAAAGTTTTACTTTTTGCTTTTATACTAAATTTTGATACTAGATTTACTAGTTGTAAGAACTGGCTTTTAACCTGGTCACTATATTATACACTATGTATATATTCCTGCAGCCTAAGTTAATACTTAATATATATTTTGGGCCATTGTATTTATGTCGAAAGCGCAGAAACATAATAAACTATGTCTAAACTATAAAAAAAACTTGCAAATTCACAATTTAAAAACTAAAAAAATGTACAGCTGATAAAAAAGCTGCAGTTGAGAAATTGCATTAATTTTACAATTGGCAATAAAAAAATTTACCTTCTTTATTGAAATTTAAAGTTGGGATACCCTTTATTATAATTTTGGTGGCTGGGCTAGAGTTTGATTTATTTATTTAATCCGGTGGAATAATAATGGACCAATCAAATAAATCATCGAATCATATTTCATTTTTCCCCATGTTGAGTTTTATTATTTTATTGTTACAGTTAATTGTTATCTATTGTTATTTTTAATTCATTTTAACTTCTGCCTAATCAATTTTTATTATATTTGCAAATTTAAGTATACGATTTTTTTTATTTGACTTTTGAAATTTGCAAATATAAACTTTAAAATACTGCCATATTTTAATGAACCACCTAAAAAACTTTATTCGTGCCAAATTCATTCAATTTTATAGTGCGCCGAAAGTGTTTTAAACAAAAAATTGGACAATCTATAAATGAATTTTAGAGGCATAAACATTATTTTAAAACCGAGTAATATTTGCATAAAGTTTCAAATTTCAACGAAAAATCTTAGTGAATTTAGTAAAATTAAATTACAATTCTAGGTACTGTATATAACATAATTAAATAATCTCACCACGCAATTTTCTGGGAAATTTGAAACTCGATTTCATTTTGTATATAAATACCTATGTATTTCCTGAACTGTTACCAAAACAAAACCGTTTAATATAATGTGACACATTAATTATTAATAAATATTAATTATTGACAATTCATACGTGTTTTATTTAAACCAAAGTTTTATACCTTTCAAATATATATTATAAATGCGAAAGTGTTTATTTTATACAGCAATATTATCCAGTTGGATAATTAAAAATGGCTTACAGTTAAACCTGGCGCATTCGCCATTTTTTTAAGTATTTAACTGCTGAACGGATTTTGATTAAATGTGGTATAGAGAAAGATATAATAACCATGATGGATCCCCTATCTATAAAGTTAATAAAAACTCATTACTTAAAAAGATTGTTAAAACTGGTAAACATTTGATAAATCAATGTTCACCAGTAATTTAACACAGTAAAATGGTGTAAATTGTGGGGTGCAAACACAAGGAGAACTTTTTTATTTCATTTGTTACTTTCGCCGTTTTTAGTAAATGTTGCTTGGTCCTATATCAGGAAGCAATATGTATGGAAATGCGCATACCCTACTACATACAAGAAATGTTCGAACGTACGTTCAAAATCCTATTTTCGAGGAATCAACATTTAACCTAACCTTCGAAAGTATTTCTATTGTGTCATTTCCCCCATTGCCTCAGGATACGCCAAGACGATAAGAAATGCAAGCTATCGATTAACAATAAGAACGAAACTTTAGATATCGTAATGGCAAATCCATTTTTTAAACAAACAATAAGACGCTGGGTGGAAAATCAACTTTGTCAATTTTTATGGTATTTCAATAAAACACAATAATCATTAAAAAAGTTTATATTATAAAAAAATCGTCAAATTATTACATGTGAAAAATGGTATAAATGTTATGTAGGTATGTACACGGTACAATTTCAAAATAAATAAATAATCAGTCAAAAATAATACAGGACACTCAAAATATTTAAAGAGACTGCGCCTTATTATAATCTTTTTACAACAGTCCCGGTATCTGATTCTTCTGAAGGAGTTGACTCCGAACTAGATGACTCCTTGTTTGTACTACCACTTTTAACCGGCGTCGGTATATGTGACTTTGACTTTGCTTTTACCACTTTAACAGGCAATTTTGACATCGCCTCACCACTTTCATTCTCTTTTTTAACGTGTATTTGAGGCTGATTATCAGAGGCTACAACTCTGGGGATATTTTTGCTATTTTGAGATGCATCTTTTTTGCTTGTTGTAGGTTTAATAACATATTTTGGTTCTGCAATACGTTTATTTAGGCTACCAGGTTGATTTGCTGCAATTATAGTCTTAGGTTTTTGTTCTAAATTTTTAATTTCGTCATCCTTAGCTCTAAGACAAGCGTATATCTCCTGACTGTTATCCTTCTTCAATTCAGGCTTCTTCTTCATTGTCAACGGCCCAACATACAAATTATTACAAACAACCTCAGGTTCTTGACTTACAGGTGGTTCCTCAGCCAGCATTGGCTCAGATTGGCATATAGCTTGGGGTAGAGTATTATTTCTATCCAATGAGGAAGTGGTGCGCGGTGGTGGAAGGGGTGGGAATTTAAAGTTGGGTGAGTTAGGTTGCGAGAAAGACGGATTTTCCGGTATGGGCAAAAATAAACAGTGCGCGGGCATGGAACGCCGTTTATGAGCTAGCGCCTCACGACCTGGATGATCCGGTAGCACCTTCGGGAAGTTTCTTCGTTTTATAGTCATTAATGATTCTTCTGGAGTCAGCGGTATTGTTTCAATATTATCACGCGAGGTTACATTAATATCAGCGTTGGGATCAAACGTTTTGAGCCTGTTGACTTTGGTGAAACCGTACATGTCCTCAACGGGTTCCGAACGCGAATGACTATGTTCTATTTTCACGATCGTCGGGTGTATCTCCGGTGTAAATTTCAGGTTAATACTAGTCGTACTTTTTCGTAACTCCTTCTTGCAATCCACAGTTCTCGGTGAGAAGTCTTCCAACGTCATCGAACGCCTTAACGGTACTTCATTTTCAGGATGATAATGATCGTAGTCCAGTGACTTTGTTAGTTCTATTGGTTGCTGCATTAAAACGCTAGAACCTCTTCCAGTTGGTGTAGCATCAACACCAACAGAAACTTTTTTTGGCTTGCTATTAACAGTAGCGTAAGATGTACTAGGTTCAACCTTCAAAATCTCCGTACTGACTGGTCTTGTAGGGCTTCTACCTAACGTTGAATCCTTTTCGGTTAAATCCAGTGAGATATTGTTCGCGCAAGATTTTGGTATCTTCACTGAAGCATGCCGATTCCTTCGTAGGAATCTTGGGCTATATTTGTTGACTATTTCCTGTGTTATCCAATCTCTCACCTTAGTATGAGCATCAATAGTACTGTTTGAGAGTTGTCTAGTAAGTTTTACTTTTGATTTTCTAGATTCAGATTTTGTGCCTTCATAAATATCCTCACTTTTTGATGATGAAGAACGTATTATCTTGACTATATTACAACCGTTTTCAAGAGCGTCTTCATTATTTTTTGGTTCTTCATCTTTAATTTCAGTGGTTTCATTTTGTTTTGGTAGAGAGTTTTTGCATTTTACTTTGTAACATTTGTAGTATAAACCAGCAAGAATTAAAATGTTCAGCATTACAATGATAAATAAACCTCCCACTATCAAAAGATTGAAACTTGAACCTTGTTGAACCTCCTGGACATTAGCAGTTTCTTCAGGTGAACTTTGAAGAACTCCATAGGTTTTTTCTTCGATGTTATATGGTCTATCTCTACCTATAGTTTGTATGACGCCATAGACATCTTTGGGGGGTTGTGTTTCAAGAGGTTTGAGGAAATTTTCGTACTTTCTGTAGGGATAATTGGGGGCGATTTTGTCTGGATCTGAAAAGTTATGGAAGACAAATAAAGGAGGAGGCCTACCTCTGGGGATGTTCGGGAATTTTCTTGGAAAAGGGCGAGGGGTTGATATGTTTTCTTTATATTTCGCTAGTTCAGGGAAAACGTCGTTCCAATATATCATTTCTCGCGATCTGTAGTGTTCTGCATATTGTGGTGGAATTTCTGAAATAAAATTCAATAAATAAACCTAAATACAAATAAAAGAAGTGTACATACTAAGTTGCAAGTAGCGTTCTTGTTTGATATCAAATTCAGGCCATTCCACATCAAATTGAAACCAATCTGCTGGTCTGGAGGAATAAAACTCATTTTTCCTTGGTACATTAGGATTTCTACAACAATAATAACACTTTAAACACTAAAACAACCACTCTGAAAACCATCTTACCCAGTGTATGCGAAATTGGAAAAGTACATCATAATTATTTCGGAGAAAAGCTGTTCTTTTTCGTTGTAATGATCAACAAAATGAAACTTAGGCCCATCCAGCGGAACACCGAATACATATGGAAGCTCATCGCCGTTATAGCTCTTGTTTCTCTACGAAATAAAGACAGAAGTCGTACAAAAATAGATTGGGTATTTATAGGACATAAAAAGTAAGATGTACAGCGGTGGCCGATGTCCCAAAAAGTTAATTTAGGATGTAAAAACATCCTCTTTTTTAGCTTTTTATGTGTAAAGAATGTTTCAATATACAGGGTCTTTTAAAAGAGCAAATCTTGTTGACATTGTTCCAAAGATTCCATTATGTTTTCAAATGTTAAACTACATATCAAAACATAGTAGTGAAATAAAAACATTTTAATAGTAAAATAAACTTTTTGTTACAATTGTCCGCGGGTGTACAATTAATACGGTCAAACTGGCAGCTGTGACGAATGTCAAGCAATTGTACGGAAGTGATCAAGTGAATTTAGAGCTGTTTGATTTGGGTTTAGTGACAAATATAAAATGCGGAAGATGCCAGTGTATATAAAGTAAAGTTTAAAATTGGTTTTACAACTGGGAATTCTAAATAAATGATGTGTTTATGTCGAACGTATTCCACCTAAATATCGTCGAGATATTTATGTTGTTAAAGCTTTTTTCCTGCTTTTCGAATGTTACCTCTATTTCGTTGAAATTGTTCATTCAATCGTAAAGTTAGGGCTATTGAACTTCATTCATTTCCAGCAAATGGATTCAATGAATGCGTGTATAAAAATATTTTGTATGTACTAATAAAGGCACAAAATAGATTTATCAATTGAGTCATGCATAAAAAAAATGTACAGCAGAATTTTCATTTTAAAACCAATTTGTTTTATAAATTATTAAGTTTTGGTAAAAAGCTAAATGAAAAATTATTATGACAACCAACTAAAATAATAGCTAAATGATGACGTGTTAAAATGAGAACAAGCTAGAATAAAGACAAGCGTAAAGGATTATAACCAGACAAGTTAAAATAACATCAAGCTTAAATAATAATAAGCTAGAAATATGACAATCTAAATTTTGACAATCTAAAATGTCGACAAACTAAAACTAAGCTAAGGTTACGATAAGATTAAAATAAACCCAAGCAAAAATTATAGCTAGCACAAAATAAGGAAATTTAATAAGACAAGCTAAATTTTTGATAATCCAAAACTATGACCAATTAAAATGTCGACAAGCTAAAATTACAAGCTTAAATATTGACAAGTCAAATAGCAACAAACTAAAATAATCACAAGCCTAAAGGGCGACAAGCTAATATAAGGACTCAAATAATGACAACCTAAAATAACAATAAGTCTAAATAAAGACCAGCTAAAATGACAACAAGCTTATAGGATAACAAGCTAAAATTACTACAAACTAAAGGACTATAAGGACAAAATAAAATTATACTAATAAAAAATTACCAAAAATTAAAATGACAAGCTTAATGATAAATAGCTGAAACGGCTAAACAAATTAAAATGTCGACAAGATAAAATAATGACAAGCTTAAATGATGACAAGCTATAATGGAGAAAAAACTAAAATATTAACAAGCCTTAAGGTCGACAAGATAAAATAACGACAAACTAAAATAATGACAATCCCATATATTGACAAACTAAAATGAAGACAAGCTTAAATGATGACAAGCTAAAATAAAGACAAACTAAAATAATTACAAGCTAAAATAACGATAATCCTAAATAAAGACAAGCTATAATAATTCTAAAAATAACAAGCCTAAAGTCGACAAGCTTAAATGATGACAAACCAAAATGAAGACAAGCTTTTATGATGACAATATAAAATAAATACAAACTAAAATAATGACAAGCTAAAATAACGATAAGCCTAAATAAAGACAAGCTATAATAATTCTAAAAATGACAAGCCTAAAGTCGACAAGCTTAAATGATGAGAATCCAAAATATCGACAAGCTAAAATGAGGACAAACTAAAATGAAGACAAGCTTATATGATGACAAGCTAAAATAAATACAAACCCAAATAATGACAAGCTAAAATAACGATAAGCCTAAATAAAGACAAGCTATAATAATTCTAAAAATGACAAGCTTAAAGTCGACAAGCAAAATGATGACAAACTAAAATGAAGACAAACTAAAATAATTACAAGCTAAAATAAAGATAAGCTTAAATAAAGACAAGCTAAAATAATTATAAGCGAAAATTCAGACAATTTTAGCTATTGACCAAAAATTAACATAACAACAAGCTTGATGATAAAAAGGTAAAATATCGATAAGCATAAATAACGACAAGATAAAATCACGGTAAGCTTGACAAGCAAAAATGACGACAAGCTAAAATAATAACAAGTTTAAATGAGAACAAACTAAAATAATGAAAAGCTTAACAAAGATAAACAAAAATGTCGACAAACTTAAATACTGACCAGCTAAAATAACAAGCTTAAATTACAACAAACTAAAATATTAACAAGCTAAAATAAGGACAAGATAAAATTATACTAGAAAAAAAACTACCAAAAATTAAAATAAGAAACTTGATAATAAAAAACTAAAACGAGTGAACAAGTTAAAATATAGACAAACTAAAATAACGACAAGCCTAACTGATGACAAGCTAAAATGGCGAAAAAACTAAAATAATGACAAGCTAAAATGATGACAAACTAAAATATTGACAATCCTAAATGTCGAAAAGCTAAAATAATAACAAACTTAAATGACGACAAGCTTAAATGATAGCAAGCTAAAATAAAGACAAACTATAATGATACCATTCTAAAATGACGACAAACTAAAATGACAACTAACTAATGATAACTGTTTAAAATCACAACAAGCTCTAATGACGAAAAACTAAAATAAAAAAAACTCAAGCCAACATATTCCAAACAATACATAATGTTCATCATTTGAAATAGAAATATTTTTTAAAACTGTAACAGGTCGAATCACGACATATTCCTAACAGTTTTATTCATGAAAAGCATATTATATTTATAATTTAAAAACCTACAATTTTTATTCGAACAAACTTTGAATTATTAATCAAAATATACGACAAAGTAAGTCTTTGTTTACGAATAATCAACTTTGCTCTCGTACGATTTTATTGGGGTTTGTCTCGGTCTAAAAGCTCGGCTTAAGCTGTAGCTAAAAACTCGGCATCAGACAAAGTAACTTAAGGGTTTAGTTTAAAATTTAAAATGTTGTATAGTGTTTTTTATTTTATTTATAATACCCGATTCTTACACTACATTTTAAGTACATTTCATAAAAATAGAAAGTGGAGTTAGTTTTCTATTGAAATTATTTGTTGCATTGACTGAAAGTTTTACAGAAATCTCATTAAAAATTAAACTAAAAAAATGCACAAAAAATTATTTAAAAAAATACTAAATGCACGTAACCCTTCATGCTCGCTTTGTACTTACAATGTACTCCTTGGACGAAGTCTTGTGTGCGAATACGTAAAAGTAGGACTGCAGGTTTAGTGCGGCGTGATATCTCGCCGTTTGCACAATGGGGGCAACGGTACGGGCGTCGGATAGGATGTCTAGGAGGGCGTCGCGAGCCAGCGTCGCCCTATCTGGTTCTTGACCTGTAGATTTTGGCTGCGGAATGCTTAAAAAATATGTCAAATTATCCATTTTTCATTAAAAAGGGGTTTTTGTAAATGCAACCCTCAAAACCAGAATTAACAAATTTTGAAGCATTCCGCAGCCTGAGGTTTTGAGAGTTGAAGTTACAAAAACCCATTTTTTATTAAAAATGGATAATTTATGTTAATAGTTATTTATGTATCAAGTCGTATTTTTTATCACGAATGTGGAAATTATTTGCAGAGGCGAAAGCACTTTAAATACAAGCAATGGTTTTTGCACGTTTACTTAACCATCTAAAAATGTCAAATTGTATTGTTTAATTGAACAACAAATATTAGTCAAATGAACAAAATGAGAATATTTGTTCTAATCTGCTAATATGGTTAATTAAACAATCTTGATATGTCGGAGTAATATTTCGAAAATGGTTGTGCTAACATTTTTAAGATGTTAAGATAAATTTCTTGAAATGTCCAGGTAACCTTTTTAGCATATTCACTTAAAACAAATAAAATGTTAAATTAAAATAAGTTTTTGTTTTGAGTGCGTTCCACCTACTTCAAATACCCACCGACAGAGCTGATTTCACCTATGTATATTGAGGGTCTTATCAGTCACTGATAATCATTGTCGGGCAATTTGGTGTAGTGGAAGTTCCACTGTGGAACACACCGAAAACAAACGGCTACCTGAGCTAATATACTCCTATCGTAAGCCAACTGAGGCGAGATGTAAGAACATCAGGTGATCAACACCGTCAAATGTCGTGGCGTGGGTGTTCGAAGCGCCCACGGCAATTTTATGAATGCAAAATTAACAAATTTTAAAGTAATATTTACAATTTGTTAAATGAACAAATTTAATGTTTTGGATTTAAAGAGCAACTAAACAGTAATTTAATAGTTTTTTTTAGGTAATCCTAAAAATTTCTGTATTTGATTCAACCAATTCCAGCTATTAAATCAAAATAGGATAAACATTTTAATTCAAAAAATTAGTTTATGTTAAATCAATATTTTAACTGTCAAATGAACAGATAAACTTTGACAAACTCTGACTATTGCTTTGACACCAAAATATAGATTAATCCCAATAGGTTTTTTGAGTAAACAACATTTTCAAAAATGACATTATTTTTTTCGGTGTGAGTGAATAAAAATGACTTTAATGCCGAGGTGCATATTAAATTTTATCCGAAATAACATTTAATAATACTAATAACTAATATTGATGATCATTTCAAATGTCATTTAATGATCAAATCAAATGTCTTTTGAATGTAGGAAGTGTCTACGTATACTGTTTGTAGCGACGTTTATGATATATTTTTTAATCTAATTAATAAAATTAACTTATTATTTTTATCAAACAGCATTTTATGAACAGGTTCAATCGACCGCAACGGTGCATTTTTAAAAATAATATTTAGTTGCTGCTGAGTAGCAGTAGATACATCTTAAAATGTATAATGGGTTGCATACAATACTCTCTGTTAGTATAACTTTACTGCCGATTTCTTTTACTTTACTGCCGATTGTTGACTACTTTACTGCCGATTTCGTATAAACGTATATTAAAAAGTAGTAGGTAATATTTTTGTTCTCACTTACTTTTCATCGTTAAGCGCGAACTCCGGCTGGGTATACTCGGCCAGAGTGCGAGCCAAGCACAGTTCGGGTTCCATTTCACAACGTGACCTAACATAACTTCTCAACTCCTCGTCCCTCTCCTTTTCCAACATACCATGCGTTAACTCTACTGGACCCAGCAGGTGGACTGATTCTAATTCAGAAACTCCATACATCAACTCAAACCTAAAAGTCCAAATGATGTCTTTATTTTAGTCTTATGGACGACTTTATGTGATATAAAAACATTTCCTCAAGTAGTACGAACATCTGTCTATGTTGGAACATCATATGGTTGAATTTTTATATGACCTGTCCTGGACGTGACAAAAAATGCTAAATGTATAAAACATCCTAAGAGATGCCTCAAACCCCCAATAATTTATTAAAATGGTCACAATTGTGGCCTAAAAAATACTTTCATCAATTTAAATCAGTTTGACCCCTTGACGTCCACATAATAAAAAAAAAATGAAATCCCAAATCGCGCAGGGAGATTTCCTAAATAGAATTTTTAATTGATTTGTTTTGTGGCAAACATCAATCTTGACTTGTTTCACAGATTTATCATTTCGTTCGAATTCAATAAAAGATAATGATGATGGGATTGTATTGAGAGTCATATATCATTTTTGTGCTTTCGGTTTGCTTGTAGGAATATTACATATTCATTTATCTTTTTTCTTTACTCTCTTTACTTTATTTCTCTGTTTGGTCATTTGCACCGTTTGTGTTTGAGCTTTTGCTTTATTTAACACGGCACAATATTTATTTTAGTAAAATTTATTAACCCCGAGTTTAAATATAACGTTGTTTAATTAAAGAGAAATTGTTCGGCCACGGTTTTAATTCTAAAGGAATCTACACAATTTAAACATGCTTTAATTTAAAAAATAAAAAATGCATATACATACAGAGTAGCCCAACGAAAAACAAATAGAAGTTAATATTAAAAAAAAAGTTCTACCCAGCCGGGGTTTGAACTCGGGTCTGTCGCTTGTTAAGCTTGTCAAGCGTATCTCATAACCAATGCGCTATCAGTCACTTTTGTAATTCAATTTTATTTGTCTATAAATATTGCTCATAATATTTTAAAGTTGAATATATTTTCTGTGTTGCTGTTTTGAGCTTAACTTTTTTTGTTTTTATGTGCCATTTAATCATGAAGCCTATATGCATTTAACTTAAACAATAATTTGTTGTTGGCCTCAAACGATTAAAGAAATTAGTTACTTTAAACTTTCAGAAATAGTAAAAATGATGACTTTTCTTAAATAAGTCAAACCAACTATTTAAGTAGTAAAAACTATTTAAAAGTGAAAATGCTGGTACTAATTCAAATACACTCAAAAATACAGGCAAAATAATCGATCCACACAAATTTTCGATGAATTTCAATCGCAAATAACTTTTTTATTTGTTTTCGGATTTAAACAAATATTAAAGAATATTGTAGATACATTAATGGAGAATTGCTCACATATGAAAAATTACTAAAAAATGTATGTACGTTTATAATATAAAGGTTTAAATAAAAAGATGTTTTTCACCATTAGTTTAAGACACTCTGTAGAGTGGCAAAACCGTATATTGTTCTAAATTAAGTTTTATTTATCAAGTCAGTGACTTGAAGTCACATCTATTCTTAACAGTTTTGTTTTTAGTTCACCTCAATATATTTATTTTTGTGGAAAATATGGATTTAAAAAAAAATATTGCAATTTCCAATATTTTTTCTGTATGAAGAACTAAGGTTGCTATGGTCCATCCAGAGGCTATGGAGAATGACAGTGACAGTTTTGTTGAATCATCCCATACTTGGACATGTCATACACGGCTTTCAAAAGCTATCAAATTGTTTTTTTGCAAATTAATGTTTAAATTTTGAGGTGTCTTCTTAGGTACTTTAAAAAATGGATATGTCTCCGACTGATGTTGCCAGAGCCATTAATTTAATCCAGGATGGACGGTCACAGTATTACGAGGCAAGTGTTTTAAGCGTCAGAAGAAGTAAAGTACAAAGGGCAACATCAGTCGGAGACATTTTTAAAAGTAAGAACACACCTTAAAATTAACACATTAATTTACAAAAAACAATTTGATAGCTTTTAAAAGCTGCATATGACATGTCCAAGTATGGGATGATTCAACAAAACTGTCACTGTCATTCTCCATAGCCTATGGATGGACCATAGCAACCTTAGTTTTTTATACAGAAAAAATATTGGAAATTGCAATATTCGTTTAAATCCGACATCAAATAAAAAAGTTATTTGCGATTGAAATTCATCGAAAATTTGTGTGGATCCATTATTTTGCCTGTGAGTGTAGTAGAATTTTGACTATTTCATTTTAAGAGAGTACGATTAGTATTTAGGATCTTTACTCGCCTCTTAAAAATATCGCTGTACTGGGCCATCGACTTCTTCGGGTCGTTGGGCACGACCACCGAGTCCACTACAGGCCCGAACCTCGTCTTGTACGCCGAGGTCTTCGCTCCGACGTTCATTATCTCGGCCAGCGGTTTCCTCCTCAGGCACGCTGCGAAATCGTCTTGAAACTGGCAGTTCAATGCTTGCGACACTTGGTAGGTGACCGCGCGAGGGTTGCCGGCCAAAGCCCAGTCGGCCAGCGCGGTCCCCGCCATCAGGATGGCCCTTTGGAACAGCACTTCAGCAGAGATTAGACAATTAGAAGGTATTGGATAACGACTAACTTGTAGACCAAGTTAAGTCACTTAATGACTACATTCCTAATTTATCGTTAACTTTTACATGTATTTTAAATTTATAATTATATTTCAAACTTTTATAAAAAGTAGTGCATGGTCTAAAACCTAAAATGTTAAATTTTATTAGTTCTATACTACGTTTGCCTAAGAGTAAAGTACGATGCTCCACACCTCAAAGTCCCACCACGTGACCACGTACGAAACGCAGTCTTTTAAAAATTTGGCATTTAAGGCTTTTCAGGTTATGTATCTGTCAAAGTATAGTCAACGAAAGAAATAATATTATGTTTGGCGTTAAAAATGTATAAATCTTTATAACATTAAAATAACAATGGATGGTTTAAGAATTTAAGAATATAAATACTGCATTTAATGAAATTCTAAAGTGTATGGTGCCAAATAAGTAATATTTTTGTGCATTTGGTCCAAATATCTGGTTTTCTCCATAAAATAATTTTAACTAAACAGCATTTATTTAAAAAAATCTAGCTTCTCTATTATGGAATAAGAATATCTGTACAAAGGTAGGTTAATATATTATAACAAAAACATTATCTAATTTTGTAATTTTAAGGTTAGAAAAATTTATTTTGACCAAAATAAATAAGTATTTTGGATTATTTAAAAGACTGTATAATATGGTATTTAATAATGTGGTAGTTTTTCTTATCCAGCTTAAAGTGTACCTACATAAAGTTTTGTCAATACAAATAGTTAAAAAGCTTCGACTGAATTTGATCTACATCAAAAAATCATTATAACTTTAAAAATTTTAATAAATCACATGTCATGGGAGTATTAAATATTTTCACATTGCAAGTTTCTCTAAAAATTATTTGTTTTCTTATAATCTAACTTAAAGTAAGTATGCCGAGAGGTATGCACAAGTTTTGTCGTTAGAAGTATAAAAGCTTCAATTTAATTTGAACCATATTCAACAATTATTTAGTATACCTATATTTATTTATGACCATATTAACACACTCTTTCAAATAATCCACTTATTTATTTTGGTCAAAATAGATTTTTCTAACCTTAAAATACAAAATTAGATGATATTTTTCGTTCTAACACTTTAACCTACCTTTGATACAGATATTCTTATTTCATAATAGAGAACTTAGATTTTTTTAATTAATGCTGTTTAGTTAAAACTATTTTATGGAGAAATGTAGACCCAATGCACAAAAATATCACTTATATTGCACCTTACACTTTGGAATTTCATTAAATGCAATATTTATATTCCTAAATTCTTAAACCAACCATTGTTATTGTGATACTATAAAGATTTATTAACTTTTAACGCTTAAACATAAGCGGTAACACTATAAATATTATTTCTTTCGTTGACTATACTTTGACAGATACATAACCTGAAAAGCCTTAAATGCCAAATTTTCAAAAGACTGCGTTCCGTACGTGGTCACGTGGTGGGACTTTGAGGTGTGGAGCATACTACCTTTATTTTTGACAATAGAGCCATTCCACGCGTAACGGATAGGACAGTTGCCGTGTTTTTATTTACAAAATAATATTGTTCTATTATATTACCAATGTCAAATTTTTATAAATAGTTCTAAACAAAAGCTGTTTAACAAGGTTTTTATTTGGCAAAATTAGGTATCGTGATTGACTGTTTAATTCCCTAAAAACTAATAATTTAAAGCGTAACGGACGGGACTTTGTAATAGTCCCGTCCGTTACGCTTTAAATTATTAATTTTTAAGGAATTAAACAGTCAATCAATTTTTTCGAAGAATGATTTTTTTTTACCTACTAAGAATGATTTTTTTTTACCTAAAATGCCGACAACTGGACACACTGTATACGGTATTTTAAAAGGTAAGGTTTTGAAATTCTTTGGTAGTTTTAATATTGTAATGATCTTGAAATTTTCAAATGTGTTTTTAAGATTCTAAAATGTCTCTTTAACATTTTAACGCATGAATTTACGTTGCAAAAATTCCAAAGGTTATAAAAAATAAAAAAAAACCTGAATAAATCTCAACAAGAGCACCAGTATTTGTAAAATCCTGTGAAAACCATCTAAAGCAAGGCATCGTAAAAAAATAATAAATCTTTCACACACCTTTCCATCGAACATTTTTTCCCAATACTTACTTTGTGTACCGTGTAGTGGGCTGAGCATAAGCAGGCTCGCACAGACCGCACCCGTTCCATGTCCGAAAAGCGTTACGGCACTTGGATCGCCCCCAAAAGCTGCAATGTTATCCTTGACCCACAGCAAGGCGGCTATCTGGTCTATCAGACCGAAGTTGCTTTTCGCAAAGTCGTCAACACCCGCCTTAAGAAATCCTAGAAAAAAAAAGGAAACATTTTGTTTTAAACTATGCAGACGATTTAACAATAAAACGTTGGCAAAGTACGACAAAATATAATTACTACGAACGCCTGTAAAAGGCGAAGAAAAATTAATTATTCCTTCTAAAAGTTATCAGATTGTCCTCTAAAAAACGACAACGTTGTTCGCAAGTAAAGAAATTATAATATTGTCAGTAAGACAGATACAATTAAGATTTTCCTTGATAAAATGTTAGTAGTAGTACTAGTAATAAAAAAGAAAATGAGCAAACAGGCATCGTATTTTTAGCAGGATAATAAGAAGAAAGAATCATAAAAATTAATAAAAAGTGTTTTTATAAGAGCTTTTTTTCGCGTTGTTAAGTCGACAATTTGAATGCCTTTTTCCTATTTTTTATTTGTTTTCTTTGGGCAAACAATTTTACTCTGAAAAATTGAATCAAAAAAATTTGAATAAAATACAGTAAACTAAAAAATAGGTGCTCTATCGATTTAAAACTGTACCTAAACTGTAAAATTCCTATAAAGTTGTTTTGAAATTAACTGTCTGAAAACTTAATAAGTTTAGAACTTTAACTATCCCAAAATGGTTATGCTCATAGAAATAACACAGTGTTATTTCTATGGTTATGCTTTTTCAGAATTTAAAGCAAATTTTATTTTAAATTTTATCTGACTACTGTCAAGAAGTTTTAACATCACTTTTTCTCAATATGAAATCTGTCAAACGGTTTTCCCAATTTTAACTTTAGCCCGAGCATTAAGTAAAACCATATATTAATGAATGTATCATTATTTTAAAATATAATTTATTATCAATAATTAATTATTAATATCCAAAAATAGTAAGTAGGTACACTGTTAAACATTTATAAAATTTGTGTTAAAAATAATGCGTGTTAAATAAAATATTTAAAAATTTACATAAACTTCCTAGTGTTTATAACATAAATGGTATATATATAACATATGTTACCTGATATAAAAATTATAATAATTAAAATCTTAAAATTTCAAAAGATTTAACAAAAATTAATGTGTTAAAAGGTCCTACACAAATAAGAATGTTAAATAATAATTTTGTTGTACATTGTAGTATAATAATATGGTTCATGTTACGAGAAAATTATGTTAATTTTATCATAAAATATTAGTTTAAATTACTCCTAAACAAGTGTTAATCTAACTCAAAAATATTTGTTAAATATTTGAGTACAAAAAATTTTTAATCAAATTAAAACAATTCAGTATTTTTTAATTTAAATTAACTTGAATAAAAATGTTATTCTTTTAATTTGCTAATTTTCGCCTTCTTTCGACTAAAATAGGTACCCTGCAAGGCCCTTTTGTCTTCTAACCGCGTTTAGTCGGTTGATGTAAGGTAATTCGATTAGAAGTTCCTAATTGTAAGATTAAGTGTGCTTTTATATAGCGTGTGTTTAACAAAATTTAAAAGTAACGCTTGTATCCCCAGAAATGTTTGAAGATCGTTTACCGTATGACATGGATATGTATTTTATTTTGGAATACAAAAAAAGGACTGGACTGTGCAATTTTAGTGAATTACAATGCTTCATTAATGGCCTTTTTTTTAAATTATGTTGTAGTATAATAAATTATTATTATTACATCATTACCTGTTTTATTTTTTGTCCAAGAACCAATATTCTTACATTAATTTATATATTTTATTAAAATAAATAAAAATAAACAATTAATAATATAAAAATTATTTAAAAAATATAGTTAAAATAACAAATTAAAATAATTAAATGAAGACATACTATTTGTGTAAAATCATATATATGTTAAAGTAACACTTTTTTGTGTAAAATAAATAAAATATAAATAAATTTAACATATTAAATTATGTTGAAGTTATACAGATTTTAAATCATATTAATTATTAGTTTAGGTTAAAATATCCATTACAAAAAAAAATGACATAACACGATTTGTTAAATTAACTTTGCAGTTATGTACAAAAAAATAACATATATTAATTTTCTTTTACACATTCTGTTGTGTTAAAAATTAACATAAGTAATAAAAATCAAAAAAACTAAAAAAATTGAGTGGACTTTCTGGGACACAAGAAATATGTTAAATATACACATACATTTTTTACTGAGTAGATAATCAAAACTGGTGTAATCAAATCTGTTTTACCGGCTTTCAAAATGTAGGTTCAATCCTAGACCAAATTGGAATAATTGGAAGGACTTTAATGTAAATGTCAGTTTTTAATGAAACGTTATTTTTCTTCATTTTCTAAAAATTGATTAATAATTAGCATCTCTCGACAAAAAATTATAGTGTTTGCCTCGCGTGGAAGTGCTATTATAATTTATTTGAATGATTTAACTTCAGTTATACAAAATCCTTCTTAAAAATTGATAAATTTTGCCGATGAAACAAATCTTTTGGTTAAATCATACTAAGACTTTTGTATCAAATATTAAAACATGGTTCAATAACAACATGCTCATACTTAATAAAGACAAAACAAATTGCATACATTTTAAGACCAAACATTCAAATGTTTAAAAATTTAATAAAATTTCATTTAACAATACTTTAATTAAAAACAATAAAAATACAAATTTTTTAGGACTTCAAATATATGTAAACATAGATTAAAGAGCTATGTAGCAAATTAAATAAAACTCTGTTTTCCATAAGGGTTATACGAAAATATGTAAAATTTCAAACATTAAAAACTGTATTTCATCCAAATTTTCAGTCTTTATTAAGGCATGTTATAGTTTTTTGGGGTCAGAGTACAATAGTACAAGAGGTATTTTTATGTCAGAAAGGAGTTTTACGTGAAATGTTAGGATTAGGATATATGTATGTCTTCATGTAAAGGGCATTTTAAAAGAAATAAAATACTTACTGTGTATGTTTAAAAACAAACAATTATTTGAACAATATAGGTCGAAAAATTTGAGAAATGTACACTACTACTATCCTTATCATAGAAATTCCAGTTTTGAAAAAGGCAGTTTATATGCCTGCATAAAATGTTTTAATACATTACCAAATAATATTAAAAACATAAATACTTTTATAGTATATTATGTATCAAGTTTGATAAAAGCCATTTTATACACGAATTTAATTTTGGTACGAGTGAGATGCAAGCGAGTGCTTAAATTAATGTTTTTTTTTTAAGAAAAGTTTATAAACGAGGTGCATACTATACTTTTTCTACGACAAATACTTATTAATATCTTAAAATGATTTAAATCAAAAATTTGTATAGAGTGCCATCTATGAAACAATAGGGGAATCTATGTGTCACCGTCAAATGTCAAATTTTTACAGTTTATAAACACAATTATAAAGCTTATAAATCGAAATGTACCTATTTCTTGAAAATTGACAGTTTTTCACAGTGAAAGTACAGAAAATGTTTTATGAGCACTTTACAGTGGAGTCCGTGCCCGAATTTAAGTTATAGTTTACTGCCGGTGAAATTAAAAGGTCAGTATAATGGTTATATAAACTTTTCAAATATTGGCGTTGAGAAACTATTTAATACTTTTGTATTTTTGTATTGAGATAATAAAATAATTTTCACATTTAGTATTATTTTACAAGAAAGGCAATTTATTTTAACGATTGTATGACATTTGACAACTGTCAACTAACTTAAAACTAACTTCAGCCCGTGACTAAAGCGCCATAAAGCCACAACTTGTCAATGTGTCATGGAAACATGCACGATAAAGGGCGTTTTAAAGGTGGGAGTAGAAAAAATTAGATAGTCTACTCATTAAATTATGTTTGTTTTGAAATGTTCTTTTTTTTTTTGGCATGTTTCCCTTTTGTATATACTGTTTAATTAATATAATGTTGTATATGCAAATTTTAAAATAAATATTTTATTATTATTATAATTACTCCCTCAATGAATTCCTTCACTAGCCTACGGGCTCGCTCGGAAACTTTCATCATCGGTAAACAATATACTTTTTATGCTTTTTTATTTTTATTCGTTTACCATTGTGAACACATTGTGTAGATTAATACTTAAAATGATGACAAAACGAATGAGAGCGATTTGGCCACAATAACATTAATTTAAAATGAAAGACCATCGTGTAAAGGTGTGGTGATTCGCTAGAAATAAATAAAAAGCGGCAGCACTAGCACGAAGCGGCGAATTCCTTTTATTATTCCATCCGTTTCTATGGAGCAATAACGAGGAATCTGGGTGGAAAAGAGAAAGGGGGGCTTTATTATATCCTTGCCTCTTATAACGCGAAAGTGTTTATTATATTTGTCAAGAGAGTTGTAACCGCAAATGAAGCCTCTAAAGCGCATATTTAAAGGCCGAGGTCTTCATATATTTATACATATAAATTTCACTCGCAGGAAATCAAAAGGAGCCAGCATCCAAAGACGCGCGCAACAAAGAAATTTCTGCCGAGATGAAATCTCGTCGTATATTCTCGACCGTAAAGATGACAGGATTTTGGCGAATTCTCACAATATACACAGCAGCGATTTATGCGAACATTCTCTATCTGCCCCCTGGGACCCGAAACAGGAGACTCTTCGCTAGCTTTGATGGACGTTGCCACTTATGTTTCAGATATGCCAGCCTTCTTGAAATAACACACATTGTTAAGGGCGCCAATAAAGACAACACTTATCAAGGGTTGCCGCATTTTTCTCAACTGTTTTAAAACATAATTGATGTAAATTTAAATAAAGTTACTGTATTCTTTTTAAATTTTTAAAATCCACTTTCTCAAAAGTTACTTAAACCTGTCTTGTTCCCAATAAATGATGAGGTACAAGACCGAAACAGCCGGTGCCTGTTTTGCAGTTGCTGGATTCCTCATCCAGCAATCCAGCTGGTGCTGGATCCAGCACTGCGGATCCGCAAATAATTAATTTTTGAAATAATGGCGCAAATGGGTGACATTCACAATATCGAAATTCATTATATCGAATTCAAAATATCGAACACTTTTTATCGAAAA